GTGCTTTTAGCAGGAAGGAATTTCCCTGCGAGCGACGTAACGTTACCGATGAACCTGTTGAGCGGGGGCGGGTGCGCGGCGGAGAGCAGGAGGGCCCCATCATTGCAATCAAATCACGCGTGTTGAACCTCGCGCCGTGCCGCCGTGTCTGAGCCATAAAACGCGGGGCCCCCGCCGTCGCCGCCCCCGTACCTGATACCATCATGGATATCGGGGGCGGCGGCGGCGCGACGCGGCGCCCCGCCCCGAAGTGGCTGCCAGACGCGAGGCAGCGAAATCCCCTCCCAGAAGCCGCGCCGAGCCCGGTGCGGAGCCCCTGCGTGGAGCGTGGAGGCGCCCCTTCACCGCCCCGCCGCCCGCCTGGCACCACAATCCCCTTTCCTTCCTCCGCATTGCCATAAACCACTTCCTGCACGGTGCGCCCCGGCCGAGCCGCCCCGAGCCGAGGCCCGGGCCCGGGCCGCCCCCCAACAGCCCCCGGACGCCGTCGTGTCCCGACAGGATAGGAATATGTTCAAAGGAAGCGGCCCATTTCGGACATGGCGACTACATCGTCATCTGGTTCCGATCTTGTTGTTGGTGCGCGGCGGGGCGCGGCGGGGCGCGGCGGGGCGCGGCGGGGCCCAAATGTAACAAATGGATTAGCCGCGCTGCCTCGCGCTGCCTTGCGGTGAGTTTGCATGTGAGTCGCGCCAATCAGGGCCGCTCGGAGGGTAAGGGCGGGCCGTGCGGCCCGGAGGGTGGAAAGGGGTAGACGCGGCGCAGGTCTCGGGAGGACCGTTAGAGAGTCTCGCCCCGCCAAGCCGTTCCAACTCATTCCTGGATTTGAGCGCGTCGCCCTGAGTTATTGGGTTTCGCGTTTCGACAATGGCGGCGGCAGCGGCGGCGGCGGCGTGGCGCGGGGCCGTCTCTGCGTCTGCGGTGAGGGAGTGGGGGAGGGGGGACGGGGGCTGAGAGGATTGCAGTGTTGGCAATCTGATACGTCTGCGGGACTTTTCCCAAACGCATTTCGGCGATTCGAATCAGATGTACTAGCTATAGCTGCTGCTGCTGGCTCTCTCTCTGGTCAGGGGGGTGGTGGTGTGGCGCGTCGCGCTATCGGATCCCGCCTGATCAGCTGTGCGGGTGCCAGGGCGTGGCGGGGTGTCACTGGTCCCCGCCCCACCCCGCCGCGCGCCATCCCGGCCCGTTGTGATGACGCCGCTTAACGAGGCAGACGGTGACGTTTTGCCGTGCGACTTCCTCATTTTCTGTGCGTTGGAGGTTTGTGTCCCGGGGGTTGGGCGGACGGGGGCGAGGTCCCCAAGCGCAGGGCCAGCGCGTGTCGCCGCCGCTCTGGGGGCCGGGCGCGCCGCGCCGCACAGCCAGGAGCGGACTAATTTCACTTTGCTGTAAGAGAGAGAGCGACAAGGGAAGGGTGCGTGCGTGCGTGGGAGGAGGCGCTCACAAAGATAATTTACTCGTCCTTGTCGGAGTGGCTCGGGTGACGGGCGCGGTGTAGTTTTTGGCCGCGGCCGCGTTACGTACCGCGTGAGTAGTGAGTGACGTCTCGCGCGGGGCCGCGGGAAGGTCCGCGACGAGCGGTCAGGCAGGCGTTCCTTCGCTCGGAGGAGGAGGAGCTGCAGCCCAGGGGCCGAGCCTTGCATGAGGAGGGGGATGTAGACGTGGTCTCCAGGAGGGTTGTTGGGCGCTCGCGTGCCGTGGTCACTGGGGCGGTGAGAGACGCGGTAGCGATAGGTGAGAGCGGGTCCCACCGCGGCGTGGCGCGGCGTGGCGGGGCGGGAGCGTGGCGCGGGTGCGCATGATCGCCACCCTTGCGCTAATTGGCGCACGGAGAGCAGGCGAGGGAGGCAGAGGGAGAGAGAGGGAGAGAGGAAAGCTGAGCCAGCACTGGTTGTCACGCGCACGCCACCACCACCACGCCCTCTCCCTCTCCCTCTCGCTCGCTCTCCCTTGTTTTGCTCCTGCTCTTTCTCTGTGCCCTTCCCCCGCCGTGGGGCTGGCGCGGCCGCGGGGAGGGGTAGGGTGTTTGTGTGGTCCTGACGGGCATCAATCCTAATGGCAGGGCTGCTGCCCCCGCCACGCCCCGCCACGCTCCGCACCGGCCGACTGCCTGGAGCGTGTATAGAAAGCGGCCGGTACTTCTGCGAGGATACTATTGTTTCATGTATGCAAGCATCACGTCCTGATGAGAAACTCCATCCCACTACCATCGCATGTTTTAGTTTTGGTCACCGCGTGAAAGTGTCCCGTCACTGAATTGCGTGCTGCTGCTGCTGGGGGCTTTGTGCCAAACTAGGCGTTTGTCCTTTTTTTGTCCTGTATTATTTAATTTTTTTCAAATTCACCTGTCGCGAGGTCGTTGAGAATTATGCTTATTTTTGCCGCATGACGGTGTTCCGGAAGCGTACACGGGGCCGTGCAGAGCGCCGCAGCCTCGCGGTCGGCCGGCAGGAAGTGCATGACGTAGCCAGCGTCCTCGTCCTGCGGGGCGAAGTGGGGCGGGGCGGGGCCTGGCGGGGCGCTCCTGTAGGAAGGTGGCTACCCTTTCGTATTTCCCCGAGGGCCTATACCGTTGCTCGAGGTGGAGTGGCTCCGGCGGCCTTTTCTATTTGCTGTGGGCCAAGCCCCGGGCCGGCCGGCGGAGACGTGGAGACTTTCTGTGAAAAGTTTGTGGCGCAGAAAAGGCGCTCGGGAGTGGTCGGCGCGGGCCCCTGGCAGGTAGGCGCCCCGGCGAGCAGCGGAGGGGCGGGGTGCGGCGTGGGGCGGGGCGATATCGTATGACGCCCATTAGGGCTGTAAGCGATACGGTGTGAGCCCCAGGGCTTTTTATATACCCTTCTAATTGGGACAGTGCGCCGCGCACCGCTGCCTCGCGGAGTTTCTCGCGACGCTCTCCTCTTTCCCCGATAGCCGGATGAGCTGCATGCACTACATGTCATCCCATGTCCTGTTGCCCCAAGCCCCCCTCCC